AGATAGACAAGTAATAATACATACTGACAGAAAGCAGAAGATGTGACATCCAAATCAAAACTCAGCCTTAAGCACTTTAATCTTCATAATGTAATCTTCAAGAGAGATTTCTGTCATGATGGACTGTTAGTCAAGCAGTAGCCACTGGAGGGGGCACTTTTCCTTAAAAACGTGCAAACTACATCTGTTACTTCATGGTGCTCCATAATGTTGGATATTTGTTCCAAAAGCAGTTTGACAGGAAATGTTTTTCAGCACATTATGAGTGTGATGTCATTCCTTGCACATTACCTTAATGTCAGTGTCCATTCCCTCTTTTTTTTTTTTACGTTGTTGCCGATGTGTTTCCTTTAAGGAATCTGCCTATTTGATGAGATACCCTCTTTTGTTGTGTTAAATGTTTTGATCTGTAAGTTTTCACTGGAAAATTAGGATACAAGCTTTTTCCAATGCTCATCTTTAATGGCATGCTGGAACTGCTTGGTGGGACTCAACTGAACGTAGAAATGATGTATAGCCTATATACATAGGCCTACTGTACATTACTTGAAAGCAGAGCAGCACACATGCTCCTTCACCAGCATTATTTTAAATGCACACTTTGGACTGAAATACAACTTGTATGTTTCTCTTTCTTAACAATATGGAGGCATATCATTTTGTGTAAACATGTCAATAGAACTGCATAGCAAGAAAGTCAAAGCAGCCATTTTATGTAAAGGCGGTGTGAACCTGCAGTGTGTTACTCAGCGTTTACTTTGCAGGCAGATCTCCTGCAGCCTTGATGAACTGAACATCCTTACCAAAAATATATTTCAAAAAATGCATTTCTGCATTCTGATATCTTATAAATATAATACAGCTGGAGTCAAATATCCCCTTTTCCACTAAAAGCTTCATATGATTGTTGTTGACTGATCACACTTTTCTTACCACTCAGTGCCATATTTGTGATTTATACATACTCCTGATTATACATTTTGTTTTACGTGTACTCCTGATTCTTGTAAATAACTGGATTGTGACAAGTTGTAAATATATATCTGAATAAATGTGGGTCTTTGCAAACTGTTGTCTGTTTGTCTGCTGTGTTTAGATAAAGTTGGCCAAAGTAGGTAATACTAAAATAATAAATTCAGCTTCATCTCAGAGCAAGTGACACACATGTATACCTTATTCACATGTCAGTTATTGGAAAACATCTAAACAAATAAACTCAATACCACAGCACTTTCTATCTTTTGTTTGAGATGAATATCACCAGCCGGGTTAGGCTACTTCAAGTCAAAGCAAAACAATAATTAATTGCACCATTGCACTGGAAACAAAATAGTTTAATTTTGTTTAAGGTTTCTGTAATTAGTGGTTTATTATTTTAAATAATTATTCGGTAACGGCCTGGTGTGTGTTTCACTTGATAAACAATCAAATTGCTTTAAGAAGAAACGACCCAACTTAAAGAGATGGACGCTGACATGACAAAAGAAACATATTCTGAACTCAATAAGTGTTTAAAATAAGCATGACCGGTTGATAAGAAATCCCTGTATACTTTTTTGCAAATAGGAGATTTAAGCTTGTAATTTGCGATTCAGAATGAGCACAGTTGTTGCTAATAGCAATAACAATGGATCTGTTGTGTCCCAGTAAATCAGAGTGACAGTGAGCCTGCTTGCATCACATCATGACTCTGAAACTGGAGCCGCTAAATGGAGTTCAGCCACCAGTAATACTTACATCTGTGCTTTTCTTACTGTGACACGCCAAAAGGCCTGTTGTTCATCTTTCAACCAGTTTGACAGGCACAGAAACCAGAAGGATCCACAGGGCATGAGCTGAGGACGAGGTGGAAAGGATGACTTGTGTTACGCTAATTAATCCTCTCCTGCATTCTTTTGTTATATCTTTAAGAAGGGTATCTCGGGTAGAAAAACTGATCAAAGGAACAGCACTTAATTAACCAGTGGAAGGACAAAGGTCAAAACCATATGAGGTTGTAGTATCACATTCTCACTTGGAGACCAGCTTTAGAATACTATCACAAAATATATAATTGTATTCCATTATTTAGGAAAGGAGATGCTCAAACTCAATCAGCAAGATATTCAAGTGTTAAACGAGACATCCATTCAAGAAGACTGTCATTTTGAAATCACAGCAGAAATGTTGGTTTAAAAAAACGTTGAGGTCAATCACTTTAAAGACAAATATTGAAAAAGCAAACATGGTAAATTCATGTAAGAGGTTTGAAAGGCAGTGGCTTTTTTCTGTCAGCTTTTTATGTTTACTCAGACTGTTTTCAGTTTGCTAATTGTAATTTGTTGATTAGACTGAGGTGGAGTCGTTGATCCACATTACTGTTTTCCTTTTAAATAAAGCTAATTTACTGAAAAACAACAAATAATAGTAAGTTACACACACACACTTCTCTTACAACACAACCCTTATCATTTGCAATTTAGATAGTCAGCTTTGATAAGCAGATGTGTTTGCTGTGTTATCAGAGATTGATTGCAAACCTATATGTGACCTTTGGCCAGAGGCCTCCTCGTTACTTCCGGCCCTTTGTAGACTCACCAGAGAAAAACAGCAGACTCTTGCTTTCTGATGAAATCAACCTTCCCCTAAAACACATTTACAGATCAACTAAAAGACAGTTACTATATGTACCCTAGTTTAATCTTTTACCTAGTTTTAATCAAGCTTGTCCCCTTTTATTATTGTCTTTTCAAGGCCTTTATTTTCTCCTTTCATTGTACTTTGTGTCTGAGGCTTTATCTGTTATCTGAAACATGAATATTTCACGTTCACATACTTGGTATGATTTTGTAAATATGCTTTGAATCAGAATCAGAAACAGGTTTATTGCCAGGTAGGTTCACACATACGAGGAATTTGACTTAATGTCATGGTGCAGACATAAAATATAAAACAAGAAATCTAACTAAAAATCTTTAAGGACACCGTAATAACATATAGTTAAATAGCAATAAAGCATTAATTTATATGGAAATAGAATGCTATGAATGAATTATAGGATATAAAATATGAAACAAGAAATATGTGCAGTAAGCATGAACATTGTGTGCATTAATGTAATGCATATAGGGACTACGTTGTGGCTGAGGTAAGTGTCAGTGGGGGGGCCAGGCCTTGTTTAAGAGGCCGGTAGCGGAGGGGAAGAAACTGTCCAGGTGGCGAGAGGTTTTGGTCCTGATGGAGCGCAGCCTCCTGCCAGAGGGGAGGGGGGTGAACAGTTTGTGTCCAGGGTGGGAGGGGTCGGCCACTATCTTCCCTGCCCGCTTCAGGGTTCTGGAGGCGTGCATGTACTTCCTGTAACCATCCAGCCGTGGGAGTATGTGAAGGTATACATCATGATGGTATTGGTAAGGTATTCTGCAGTAGTTTGTAAATATGACCAGAACCATTATCTTTTTACAGCAACAAAAGTTCTTGTAGTAAATAAATATAAGAAAGTAAAGATAACAAGTCCATCCTTTTATAAAATAACAAGATGATCATCCGACAGTATGCCAAAGTTCATGACATACTTCCTCGTATTTTATCTGCAGAAGATGACCTCTGATGGTTACTGAGTTCTCTGATGAAGCACCACAGCGGCTTCTAAGTGACATTAATATCCATCATTATTATCTACTGGCAGAGCAGCCTCCTAATTGTTCCAGACATTTAGCTTAAGAACAGTGAAGGCATCATCAAGGAGAGTTTAGATGATGTCTAGTGCAGCAGGGGGGGATTACATCATATCAATATGAAGACACGAACATGTTAGGACATTTTAATGATGTTTTAGTAGTGCTCTGGATTCAGATTCAGCTTTTACACAGTAACCATCAACATCAGCAGACAAACACTGACACCCACTGGCTGCTTAGTCAAAATCACTGCAGTCAGTTGATTCAATCTGTTTCTTTTTATACAGTATGTAAGAGTTCAGTGATGGTGAAACATTTACAAGCTTTACTCAAGTACTAGATAACTTACATTTTATGCTACTTTGTATTTCTATATTTCGAATCAATTATTGCACTTCTTACTCCACTAAAGTTAGCTGAGAGCTACGGTACATGTCACATACAGAAGCTATGATAAGTTTACAAACACATTAAGCAACACTAGTATATGAAGTATATTATTTACCATTACTTTAGAAGGAAGATTAATTAATGCAGGAAATGATAACGTCTTTAGTAAAACTGTAAGTTTGCATTCCTTTGACACATCATTACATTTACTAACTATCTAATAGTTGTGATAAAATAATGTTCCTCCCTCACTGTTTAATATATGTAACATATATATTGAGAGTTGTTGAGACCCCAAAGACACACAAAAAAGGTAATTCTGATTTCAGGTTTCGATGACTACTAAACATTAGTGTCTGTACGGAAAGGCTTTTTCTCACTTTATAAAGAGTAAATGCCATGTTTGTGTTGTTGCTACCTGTTTTTGTATGTATTTTTTTGATGTTTATGATATTTATTAAAGTTTGAATGGACAGATAGTTTAACCTTAAGGGAAGGTGGGTTGGCTTATGTCAAATTCCACAGTATAGTGGGGTTTAATTTAATCTAAATAAAAACATGACAATAAGTGTGAAGTAGTATTGCAGCTGATCAAAGTGATGAATTATGCCATTAACACTGATCCTGCCAACATGTTTAACATACAAGGACTAACTAACTGGGGTCATTTGCATTTGCAAAGACAAAGCACTTTAGGAAATATTTTACATTTGTGTCCTTCAAAATGTTTAATCCTAAAATATCTATCTCCATGAATATTTTTGTGAACATCATTTCTAACATTGGAAGCCAACTATCCTTATTTTACTCAAAACGTTTCACTGATTTAAACTGATTTCTCTAGTTGAAAATGATCCCATATTGAGCATTTCACACCATGCACACATTCTCAAACGTTTGGGTCCACTGAGATGCTGTTATTTGAGCCAGAGGGCTGAATTCACTGACGGACTGCCCATTTCCTGTAAACCAAGAAACAACACCGACAGAGTACCGACTGTTTGAGAAATTAGGTGAAAGGTGTAACATGAGGACGTCTCTCTGCAACCTCTTGGTAAATATAAATGGTATTTTTTGCTAATTTAGATATGTTTACACTATATTACATCAAATATGCAACCAAGAAACTAGTCAGTGCATGAAGCCTCAATGAAATGTAACATCCAGACTGCGAGTGTCATTCGTCCCTTGATCAACAGAATACATCGGATAATCATCCCATCCGTATTGATTAATCGGTATGCTATGTGACGCGCAGACGCAGAGGCTGTCCCGCTGTATTTAAAGGGGACTCCTGAATGGATCTATTAATGGCAGAAGTTCCTGTCAAATCTGTGCTTCCAGGTTAATGATTTGCTGGTTATCTCGTACTTAGTACTTAGCGTGGAGTTTGGAGTCTGCCCTCCCCTCTGATAAAACATAATAGGAGAAGCTCGGACCTGCATTGCCTTTCTGTTTTGGCCTTTTTCTTCCACTTCAGCCGCTGAATCTCGGGTTTTGCTTCTTCTGGCTACAGAGAGAAGGACACACAATGTTAACTCTAGTTGTGTTCTTGCTTTGTGCAGCCTCCTCTGTCACAGCTTCAGCCAAAGGTGAGTTGATGTGTGGTTTTCTGTGAGTGGAGAAAGTTTGTTGTAGGGTGATGTTTGTGTCAAATGGAATATTATTTAATAAATAAGTTCACCATATTTATGTGGGACAAGAAGAAACTGATAGAAATGTGTCAACAGGATGTATTTGTTGCTCACTTGAGGCGTATAGATGATCCGAAGAGTCAGGCTTCAATTTATTGTGCCACAGAGACTTATTATCCTCAAATGAATGAAATCGCCCTGGGTAATCTTACATAGACTCAAAGAATCAGTCTATTCATTGTGAATGTTGAAGCTTTCCATTATGCTGCTTTGTTACATCACTGATTGATATGAGATGAAAGATTTAAAAACAGAACAATACTAAAAAAAACACAGATTATTTATGTGAGTGTTTTGCTTCTGATGTTCCCTAAACACCTCAGTCAGCTGTTTTGAAATAGAGCTAGGTTTTATATTTGTATATTTGTACATGTTCCTCAGCGACTGGTGATGAAATCATGTACTGACACGTCAGTCTGTCCTTCCTCGTGGCCTAATGTCATATCTAACGCTCAGCTTGTCATTAATAAATCACAGGAGGGATTTTGTTCTTCTGCCACGTTGAACACACCTTGTTAAATGGCCTCACCTCAACCCTATCAACAGATAGTATCTATGTAAAACAACAAATTAAGTTAGTGTCCTTTCATGTCGACACAAGCTGTATTTAAGCTTGAAACAGAGAACTTTGAGATTGTGTGACCAACAGCAAAATATACCTAGTGTTAACTGAACACACAAAGTCAACACAAATGTAAAAAGTACATTAAAAGTAATGGCAAGGTAGTTAAAAGTGTGGATGGCCCATTAAGTGGACTTTTTTGCTGATATGATAAGAAATGTCATCTGAGATTTGAAATGTTGCTTCCGAACAGCATAGAAAAACCTACAAAACTCAATTAATCCTTTCCATGATGTCCAGGTTGTTGATTATTTTCTTCCATGGTTTATTATTATGAAACACAGCCATTGTTCACAATCAAATCTAAGATTTTAACGCTTTAATGATCCAACAAAACAATTGTTATAAGTTATTACATGAGGATACAGTGACACACAGATATAGATGACTGAGCATTCTGATATTCATAAGGTACGGACATGTGTGGTTAGGTATGACAAATGTTTTAAAAGCTTTCAAGCACCAGTGGTTTGTTCTTTTAAGTCTTCAGTATCTCAACAACATGACAATAGTCTTATTGCAGATCCCTCTCACTGTCTACACTGTTTTCTTACCAGTCGTGTTTCCTGTGTTTCTTCAGGTGGTGCTGCTGGACCCCGGCTGAACAACGACCAGCTGTACAAATTCAGCTACAGCACTGAGGTGCTGGTGGACAGGGTGAGGGGGTCAAAAGAGGGCACTGCTGGCTACAGGATCTCAAGCGATGTGGACGTAAACCTCGTGTGGAGAGATCCCAGCAACAAAGACGACCAACTGATTCAACTGGCGGTATGTTGGTCCAATCAAATGATACGACAGCGCAGGATCTCATTTTGAGAGTTAAAACAATCCACATAATATTTCTGACTACACAAATACTCTTGATACAATTAATAGTAAGGACAGAATGCGTCCTTCTTTTTGAGAGTAGCTAATTTTTCTCACATAAATTAATCTCTCACTCATAGATCTCAAATGTGAGGATTGAACCTGCGTCCCAACGATCAAAGAAGAAGAACGTCCTGCATGGATCCACTGCAGAAAGCCTTTTGGGGAAGACCAAACTGGCAGCTCTGACTAAACCTTTCTTTTTGCATCTGAAAAATGGAAAGGTAAGAGCATTCGTGTGCACACAGAAAATACTCCATATCAGTTGCTACACTACTTACTGCTGGTGTTATCTGTACAACCATATAGTATTTTAATATATTTTTACTCCTCATTACCTCCCTAAGGTAACAGAAGGTTGTGTTTTTGCTGTGGGTGGTTTATCTGTTTGTTAGCAAGATTACAGAAACACTACAGGCCTGATTTACATGAAACTAGGTTGAAGGGTGTAGCATGGGTCGAGGAAAAACACATTACGCTTTTTACCAGATACTAATCATGGGGATAATTTGCCAAACATTGCCAGATAGGGCATGGCCTCACCTAATATTAAAAATAAAACACATTTAAGTATAAAGAGTGAATATATTTGGCAACATTAACATAGTTTGTAATCACTCACATGTGAATAACATCAGCAGCAATTCCTGAAAATGATATAAATGAAGGTTTTGGGCAGATTTATGATCTTTTACGAGGGAGAAATGCTTACATAAGTAATGTTAGAAGGTCATTTGGGTACTTTTAGCACTTCACTGTTGTTGTCTTCAGAGAATAATTGAGCATGCTTTCATTTTGGTGGAGTGATGATGCTGGCAGGGGAAAACCGTGCAGGTGTGTGTACAAAGGTCAGCAGGTTCAGAGGGTCAATGAATGAATGAATGAATGAACAAGCCTGACTTGAAGAGCGCCTCTGGGTTGGTGGATAAGCTTCATGCTGTCTTCTTATTGGCTGTGAGATGTTGGAGTTCAAGCCAAACTCATTCACTGTTATCAAGTAACTGTATCTAATAAGGCGTAATTGCCGCAGAAAGAATTACAGCCAGATTACAGCTAGATATTTAATTTTATGGCTAAAGGGAAGAATTCTATGGCATACGTTTATAATTAAATAATACTAAAAACGTCAATTTAAACCGATAGAAAGTGTGAAGACCCCTTAACACAATGTTCAATATCTTTTTGGATAACATGCTTATTTAGAGGATAAGATCCCTTTTACTAATTTGACTGTATGACCAGTTAACATCCTAGAAAGAGCCGCAGAGGATCTTAAGCCCTCAAGGCTTTTTAGCATATATTAATGGATGTAAACACTAATAATTCCATTATTATCAAATAGTAAATGTAAAATTCAGACAAAAGTATTTTCTACAAAATTTATGTTGTTTATACTGATTGCAGGCTGCCACAGCAAGGATACACAGAGTAAGACTGAGTAGCAGTGGTCAATCTATTTATGGTAGTCCTCGCTGATATCGTGGTCGAGGGCCACAAATAAATGACATACTGTATAGGAGACACTGCAGGATGATGTAATCGGCTGCTTCTCCACTCATAAGCAGGACACTGAGAGCATTATTGAGCTGAACTGAAGCCTCAACGCTCAACTGAACTGTGTGGTGTAATTTGATATTTCCCAAGATTAATTTAGCACATTTGACTGAGCTTGTTCCATTATTTCAAGATCATATCAGCGACACGAGTAAAGATAAGACTGACTCATCTTTCATGCTGGTCAGTAGTGTGTGTTGAGAACATAATTAGAAGTTGAGCTAGACTCTTTTTAAACATTTAGAGTGCTAACACCAAAGTACTCTGGTTTTGTTTTTGATCTACACTTCAAAGAATATCTTATTTCTGCGCATAATGTAAATAGGCTCTGTTGTCATGACCATGCATTTGTGTACACACATGTGCAATGGAAAACTGACACCCTGAAGGCCTTTGTGAGCTGCAGCACGTACAGCAGCACCGAGGGTCATTGCCCCTTTATCTGCTCAAAGACATGCCTCAGTATCCATTGTTCAGAAGCATAACATTTCATATGACATGTTGCTTTCTTTGTAGGCAAAGGCCTTTTATTCCTTCTGGGCCGAACCTGCAACCATCAAGAACCTAAAAAGAGGACTGGCCAGCTTATTGCAAATGCAGCGCACCACTGGGAAGGTTATAGAGGTAATTGGCGTTATAATGCTCCCATCACATTTATTCACGTCTTTTATATTTCATTACATGTAGCTAATTGCAATCTTAATGTGTGGGAACAGAATGACGTGTCTGGAAGGTGCACGGTGGAGTACAAGGCAGTTAAACGTCAAGTGACGAGAACCAAGGTCCTGGACACGTGTAAGACTGCGGAGACGGGATTCACCACTCACAGTCAGGTATGTCAGCATCCAGAACAGCTCATTGTGCTAGAATATGAAGGTTACTGAATTACTAATACATAACTCTTTAAAGGTCCCCTATTATACTGTTTTTCATCAATATATTATAGGTCTCAGATATATACAAAACATGTCTCTGAAGTGTTTGGCTCCAAATACCAAACAGATCATGCATTGCAGCATCTAGGGATGTAACGATATACCGAATATCGCGGTATCGCGGTAAATAAACGTCCCAATACCGTCGTGAGACTGACAACATTTTTTTTTTAAAACACTTTTTTTTGTTTTAAACCTTTATTTAGCATCCCATAATCCCCTCTGTTTCAGCCCTGTTCCAAAAGTGCTAATTCTCTGTCTGTTACTTTAGATGAAAAATAAGATGCCACTCCCCACGCCCCTCTGAGAGATATTATTTGGTTAAAAAAAACCCAATGGTGCTCTAGGAGGAGATTCAGATGAGAAGGTGGACAGGTGTTACCTTGGTTGCTGATTGGCTAATGGTTACACAAGCCAAAAAAACGTTATGACATCATAAAGTGGTCAAAATCTGATCAAGTCATTTTTTATATAAATGGATCAGGACAAAAAGACTGAGAATCTTTTTTCCTGAAACTTTCAGAATCTCTTAACGCAGAGGGGACACATATTTATGTACTGTAGATGAGACATGAAAAAGTTGATTTTGCATAATGGTGACCTTTAATATGTCCCCTCCAGGTGTTGGGTATAGGCAGAAAGTCCAGTTCTGTTACAACGTTCACTCTTGAAGATGGTTTCATCCACTCTGCCGTGGCTGAAGAAACACACTCACTGGCTATTAACTCCCACAGATCTGCTGCAGCTAAAGTCGTTTCCAGGTACATGCCTTTATCAATAATAACCATGTGTGTGCATTTGTAATTCGGGCACTTTTTAAGTTTTACATTTCTTGCTTCACAGGCAAACCCTCACTCTTGTGGGGACGGAGGCTGGACCCCTGGAGGCTGCTGGGACAGATGTGGCCGAGGTTGTCAAGTCAATCGATGCCAAGCTGGCAGCTGTTGGTATTATTGCGGATAAAATCAAATCCAAATGCAAGGGCTGTCCAACAGTGAGTACCGGTTCACTTTTTCACATATTTTCACTTATTTTAGCCATTTTCTAAAGAGGGCTATGTCAATCTACCAGTTTAATTAAAATAGAATATATGGATTATTGGATTTGCCACCAGGCTGCAGAGATTCTAATTTCAAGTTTAACTAATCATTTTGTAGCATTTAGGTGCATTTTACTTTCTTTACTTACTTGTTTTCATGAACTTTAACACGTCATTTCTTCAAAGAGGAATGTTTGGCAAATCACATTCAGTATTTCTGATACTGGTTATACTGTTTATGCATCAAAATACATGTATTTAATCATTGTAACTACCACGTCAGTGCTAACAGACAAGGTCAGGGTTGGAAAAGTAATCATTGCACACATACTTCTAAGTTACACCTAATTAGTAAACAGATCCTTAATTTGACTGAAGATGATCTCTCTTTAATCCCCTCTGCCCTGTCTTTTCTCTTTTTAGCTTTTTGAGCATTGGCAGAGTGAACAGAAGCAGCTGGAGCCGGCGAGCCTGTCCAAAGCCACGGCTCCACGCAGCTTCCTGGCCCTCCTCCAGAGCATTAGGAAGGCGTCCAAGGACGAGATCCTCAAAGTGCTGCAGAGTGCCAGCAAGACATCTCTGTAAGTGGCTGCTCCTTCTCCCCTACTCCATCACTCTGCTGTTTCTGTTACCCGGTCTAACTTTAGTAACTCACCATCATTTTGTTTCCCTTCTTCCTGTTCAGACCTCAGGTGGTGGACGCTGTGACCTCGGCTCAGACTACTGCGTCTCTGGATGCCATGATTCAGTTCCTTAACTTCACCGATGCCAAAGGTCTGGTCCTGCAGGAGAGGTTTCTCTACGCATGCGGCTTCGCTTCTCATCCCAACGAGAGAATGCTCCAGGTTCTGCTGGTGAGTTGTTTAAAACAGAATCGGCAACTTAACATGCTTGGAGAAGAAACTTGGAAGAAATGCTGTCATTAGTATTTATCAGCGAAGAGGAACAAATGTGGGCTTCATTTGCACTACATTTGATGCTCTGCTTAAAAAAGGAAATAAAATATTTGTTTCCCCAAATTTATTCAAGAAGTAAGTGGCACTCAAGTGGTTAAAGAAAGCAAAAATGTGCCACACTTTGGATTTGAATAGTGTTTTCCACTAACTTTTGTGCTATTTTACCTGTGTTTCCTAATTGAAACCAACACATCATTTAAAATTGTCCCCTCATAAAAATGGCTTGTAAATAATATATAGAGTGCCACAGTGACGCGTCCTAAAACCCGGAAGTAAACTCCTTCCGGTTCCTTTGACAAAGACCAATGCAATTTCTCCATACTTTTATCATTTTTGAATCATAAATCTAATCGATAGATTTATGATTAGAAAATTATAAAAGTAGGGTAGACATGTGGATATTATCCGGCTGAACAAAACGTGATCCGTCTCTTCAATGTGTGTCAACCACAGACCTTATTTCGAGCTATTTTCCAAAATCCTATGGAGAAATTGCATTGCTTTTTGTCGAAGGAACTGGAAGTGGTAAAATGCTAACTTACTTCCGGGTTTTAGGAGGCGTCACTGTGGCACTCTATTGCGTTCTGTCCTCAAAATATAATATAATAAATGTGTACCGTTAATTAGTTTTATCCTAACGAGTCTTCAAAACCATTCATATTTAAATTAATGATATGCTAATTGGAAGTTTGCATTTCATTATAATGCGAACTGTTTTGTTTTCAGGACATTTCAAAGGGAAAGATCGGCAGCGCAGACATCAAAGAGTCCACTGTGATCATTATGGGAGCCCTCGTCCATAAACTGTGTCAGAAAGGAGGCTGCAACTTACCGGTGAGCTTACAAAAATATAGTTAATGAAAAAAGTTAATGTAGATTTTAGAAATACCAGAGCTGACTGAAGATCCCTTGCTGTGTTTTCACCCTTCAGGCAGTGGTGGAGGTGAAGAAACTGATTTTAGACGGTCCCGACAGCACAACGGTAGAGTCCGAGGTCCAGATGTATCTTCTTGCTCTGAAGAACTCTTTACTTCCAGAGGCCATTCCCATCTTCACCAAATATGCCGAGTCAGAGGTGGGAGCTTACTGCACCATCGCTCTCACCGCCCTGCAGAGATACGACTTCACTCTCATGACTAATGAGGTGAGCAACAGTGCACATTACACTCCATTTGAACTGATGAGTGTTAATGTTATGTTGAGCTGATTAGCGTGTCACAGAAACTGAAAGCACACATTTATCTCATGTGTAGGTGAAGCACACAGTAAACAGGGTTTACCACCAGAATCATCGCGTCTATGAGAAAAATGTAAGAGCCGCCGCTGCTGACGTCATCCTGAGTAGCAACCCCTCCTACATGGAAGTCAAAAATCTGCTTCTGTCCATCGGAAACCTTCCTCATGAAATGAACAAGTACATGCTGTCCAAGATCCAGGACATCCTTCGCTTCCAGCTGCCAGCCAGGTGTGTTATGGGAAATCCAATGGACCACCAAAAAAGAAATGTTGGTTGAACATAGGAATGTAACAGAACATAATTAAGCTTTGCGAATACAAATTGCAGTAATTTGTTGTATAACATATATCATTTTTCAGCAATGTAGTACGACATGCTATGAAGGATGCAATTTCTCATAACTACGACCGGTTTGCAAAGGTTGGGTCATCGTCTGCATATTCAGGATTCATGGCAAGTAAGTAATCAACCCTCATCTGTAAGACTAAAAACATTACTCAATATATTCTTAAAAGATCTAATGTGAGATGAAATGATGAACAGTGGGAACCAAATTGCAAGAGTCAATCAACATATCATTTTAGGGTGTTGGTTAAGCACATTCAAGCTCTATTTTGCTCCATTAAAAATCATAAGTTTGAGTCGTATTATTTGCTTTTTAGTACTAAGATAAATTGACTGGGCACTTTAAAATTCTCTCCGTACAGAATCTGCTGATGTGACCTCCACGTACAGTTTGGACATCCTGTATTCAGGCTCTGGGATCCTGAGGAGAAGCAACATGAATATTTACGGTGCTAGTAATGGAGCTCTTCTCCATGGACTACAGGTAGGGAAACCACATAATGAAACAGACATTCATTACACTAATGTATACAAGAAAAGCTTAGCAGGACTGTTGCATGAAAGTCAAAGTCACAGATCGCTCGCCTGGTACAGACTGCTATGAAAATTATGGGGGTTAAAAAACACCCATCTCTCCAAAACATATACGAGCAGTCCATTATCAGACAGGCAAACACAATTGTGTCTGATCCCACCCACATACTTCACCCAGAATTCCAGCTCCTACCTTCTGGTAGAAGATTCAGGGTTCCCAAGAGCAGGCTGAACCGCTATAAGCACTCATTCCTACCTATGTCCATTAAGCTTCTTAACATTCACATGAAATGAAATGTAGTCAAATGTAATGAAATGTACTTTTTAAATGTTGGCCATGAGGTCGCAATAGGTCGCCATTGTCAGTATGTGCGTCTGTGTATTGTGTTTGTTCAAACGGTGTATGACTGATGATATGTGTATGTCTCTTAATGTCCACTATGTTTGTATATGTACATGTATGCTGAACTGCAGGATGGAGTCCAGAACAAATGTCCTTACGGGGACAATAAAGTATATCGTATCGTATCGTATGAACATTTGCAGGAGTTTAGATCTTTGCAATGAATTGTTTTTATGCTGTTTTGACATCTGTTTTATGCTTTTAATGTGTTCAGAAAAGCATCTTGAATAGCCACACCATTACCACATTTCTATTTTAAACTAATGTGGACATGTTTTGTGTCTTCTAGGTGGCAATTGAGGCCCAGGGTCTGGAGTCAATGATTGGTGCCACAGCCGATGAGGGAGAGGGAGATCTGGAGTCGTTTGCTGGGATGTCAGCTTTGCTCTTCGATGTCCAACTGCGACCCGTCACCTTCTTCAAGGGTTACAGTGACCTCATGTCAAAAATGTTCTCCATGTCTGGGGACCCCATGAATGTAGTGAAGGGTCTCATCCTGCTGACTGATCATTCTGAGGTAAACTGCTTTAACTGTGTCCTTCATCAATGATCCATTTACACTACACCTCAATATAGAAGTCATTTTAGTGTTTCAAGTATAAATTCAGTGTGAGGTTATCAAAGAAAACAGAACTTAACAACTGGTATTTGATGCCAGGTAAAGAGCTGCACAATACTCCAAGAAAGCTTTATTTTACTTCAAAACAGTGTCAGCTGGCTGGTTTGAGTTCAGTTTGGTCATCTTGACAAAAACGACAGAATTGGTGATATGTTCAAACACCTGGAATAGACTTCAGTTTATGTTCAGTTTAGTCTGCAATCTAAAATCTGTAAAACAAGAGAGTTTGCTCTGGCAGGTGGGACAGCAGTGATTGACACTGTGTAAGTGTCCTCGTGGCTGACATTGGTTGTCTTCCATTCAGGCGTGCTAGAATCTACCATTGGGAGCACTATGTCTACTGTCAGGATATAGAGTTTCAGCACACATGATAAAAAGTTACTAACTATACTTTTTAAGTAGCAAGACAGTTTTCATAGGTTGTTTTGGAAGGCATTGACCCACAACCGTTTTTGTCATGTTGGCATCAGTACACGTTTACTTTGTCAGATGCATTCAGTATGTCTACACAAGTGCAGATAGTGAAGCGTAGTACTGTGACTTTGAACAGGGTTTAAATGCTTACAGATGATAAAAGGGATGTTGCATTTATTTTTGCCTTATGCTGAGGCTATTTTTAAAGTGCTTTTACAGTCTTCAAACATATCATCTATGATAAAAAGGTATCTTAATTATCGTCCGATATAACCAATTCTTCTGTTTTTGTTTTGCTTCCTGTTCATCTTTCTGTAAATTATATTTTCTTCATCTATCTATACTTTGCTGTAACAACAACAAATGTCCCCTTTGAATACAGAATTCTAATTTTGATTCTGATTTGTCTCTGCAGGTGATCCAGCTGCAGTCCGGTTTGAAGGCGAGTGCCGAGTTCCAAGGAGGGTTAGCCATTGACATCTCTGGAGGCATGGAGGTCAGCCTGTGGTACAGGGAGTCCAAGACCAGCGTCAACAACAGGTACAGTCCACACACCGAGCCAATTCAATGATATTCTAGTAGTTGCAGTTGGTGGAGTTTTTGTCCCGTAGGCAAATTGGGGCATCAGCATAGCTTTACATAATGCTGTGTACTGTGTGTATAGGTCATAACCTCACGCACAGCCTTGTAATGATACATTATCTCACTGAGTACGTTTGTTTTACTGTATGTTCATCTTGATGTACAGTAAAACACTGGCAGGACAAAGGACAGAGTGATTGACAGACAATTCTTAGAAGACAACCTTTGTGACTGAAAGGAGAGTCGTTTTTAGAGGTCGCGCAATGTCACAAACTGCAAATAGATTTCTGTTGATGTTGGATTCAAGTGAACTTATGATGGTCTATAAGCGTCGCCCGATGCATTTGTTCCATGTTGGACATGCTCCAGTATTGTGATCATGTCTGTCTCATTTCCAGGTTTATGTGGATATGTCGTCAGTTCTGTCTGGTTCTCTATTTTAAACATTACAGTCATCGCACAACGGTAGCAGCTGAAAATGGACATCATCATGCGGGTGTCGTTTAGCTCACGGCATCTGGTGATGAAATAGGGTTTAGAGAGCAATGCCACTGATTTTTGACATTCAAATACTGTTACGATTTTCCTGTGCATATGCACCTCAGTATTTATATAATATATTATATAAGTAATAAATACATTTGGTGCAAAATCTGTATTGAAAACCAAACTACGTACTGTGCTTTGTTAGTGTTTGTTTTGTTAATCAGATCCGATCTTATCTGATATTTAATGCATTTTAAGATTGTATTGATAAACTGAAAATGCTTATTTTACCTAATAGTGCAAAAGTAAAATATGAGATAAAACTCCATACTGACACTTGGGTTTAGTACCGGCACCCCATTCAAATAATTGACATCCGGCTTTTATGCCTTTTTTATAATGAAGTTTGCATTAGTGATAGGGATTATATGTACGTTTCTATGAGGAATTGTTTACAGAGATTGAAAACAAGGCACATTTAATTGGAATCTCTTTGATGGTGCAAAAAAAACACAACCCTGTGAAATTCAAATAACTTTTGGTTTAAAAAAAAAAAAATGGTTTAAGGAAGAAAAATAAGCTTTTATATTTCAGCTCTCTGATTTATTTTCCTGCTTCTTAACCATAGTAAAGGGTCATATCTTTGACCCGTGTGTGCGTAGGGGAATGGCAGAGGCAGGTGAATGGATCAGCATAGTTGTACCTCTTCCACTCTGATAATAGGCTGTCAGGCTATCTTTAGCAGCAGAACAAACCATACTGGCATCTTTGCCAAGGCATGTCTTCACGGGCAAGGCTAGAGGTTTGACGTTCAACTGGCTGGCACACACTGCGATTTTAAACAAAGGGGAAGTTATTAAACTCTTCTTGTTAGTATCTGAACTTTATTGTGCTTTTTAAGCCACTGATACATACTGTGTGAAACAAATACATGTTCACATACAATGACAAAGCGCCACAATCGTTGGGACAAGGAAGAATATAAGTATTTTGGACACATTTTCACTTTGTTTTCTCTTTATGGTTTCAGGGGAGCATTAGTGGTCACTGGCAACGTTACAGTGGATATGGACTTCATGAGAGTGGGTGTTGAGGTCAGCTACGAAACAGAGGCATCGCTAGACTTTATCACCACAGTCCAGTTTTCAGAATATCCCTTCCTGGTGTGCATGCAGATGGACAAAACCACCTTCCCCTTCAGGTATTTTACACATACATATTTCAATGGCTCTGTGGTTTTAATGTTGAATCATCTTTTACAAAAACCTAATCATCTGTTCTTATTGTTTTGCTTTCAGTGAATCCCTCAGCAAGTATGAAAGCATCTCATCAGGGAAGAGCGTTGTATCACATAAGAGGAAGAAGCAACTCGTACCGGGCTCTGAATTCCCTCTTCACCAGGAAAACTCAAACATGTGCAAGAAGGTTTTTGACTCCAGCTGGTAAAAGACATACCATGAACAATCCAACATTGTCACTCAACGAGTGTTTTTTCGCATACAGGGACAGCTATCACACCTCAGCCTCATGCAGTGAAAGTACGCAAGAGAAAAAAGTGGTGAATGTTTTTTTTTAACAACACATGCAAAGTTTACATTCCTGTGAATATTTAAGTCATTTAAATTTTAAGTTTTTTTAAAAACCAGGAATTCTTGCATTGTCTTTTTTCATAAATAGGATGTATGTTTTATTTGATAGGTAATGCACAACATGAAAAAGTAACCCTGTCATAACCCCAACATAGTTACAGTAAAGATGTACATGTAAATATCACACTGGACACAGTAGATCTCCCCTATGAATAGACACGCTCCTTTCTGTCAACATTCCTTTGTTTTTTAATTAAAAAAGTGTTTACCGAGGAGGAGAAGCGTATTGTTTTATCACTGTATCACTGTTCACACACTTGAAATAACTTATTAAGCAGATTAATATCGATTAATTACATTTGTATAATCAGGTTAGTGATTTTTAATTGCACCTACAGAGACAATGTGTGTGCATCGTTTTTACTTTGTACTTGCAAGATTTGAGGTGAAAATCAAATCTCTAAAAGATAATCCATCAACACTTGAATATCTTTTTTTTAACGTGGCTGTAATTGCTCTGTGTATCTGAAAACATCTGGGTAGCTTTGAAGACTTTTGAGCTGCTCTAAACTTGTATTTTCATATTTAGGGATCGGTTTGTTAGATTTATCATTGGCTGACAATAAACGTGCAGTGGAAACACTTTGCCTTTTGACTTGGTTTGTGTATTTAGATGCAACAAGAGCATGTGTGAACAATGGGATTAACCCTCTGGGGGTGCTTGAAATTGTTCATTTTGCCTTTAAAGTGGCATTCAATCAATTGTATATGTCATAGTCGGTATATTTGTTATTGACATAGTCATATACAGTCTGAGAAATACAGCCACCATTAAGTCTGTTACAAAATGAGATCAACTCAGTTTGAAAGACACTATCAAGTCGGTCTCTGCTGCTTTAGTATTGAACCATGTTGATCCCCCATATAAAATTGCAAGAGGACTCATCAGTTTACGGTGCTCATGGCAACTTCACATGGACAATTCAAAATATTTACCCCAGAGCCCCAGAGACTGGCGGGGTCTCCTATTCTGGGATACTATCCTATCCTGCCTTTGATTCACTGTGGGCTAATTAGTTTGTGGACATTTTAATAAACAAGCATTTATTTAGGTATAAGCAACATGTAAAAAAGCTAAATACGCTGAAGTACACGCAGCTTGTGTGATGATATGATTATGTTTTGCTTAATAAATTAGTCTTTCTTTGTAATAACTATTTCTCTCTCCATTGCATTGATAAGCCTCGACTATCCTACATGCACTGGTCCTTTAGGCAGCTCAGAGTAAATCATAACAGAGTAGCCTACCTGCCAGATAGTGAATGGTGGGCTTTCAAGCACTTTTAAAGTTTGAGGCTCCAGAGCAGTTTCACATACTTTGAGCTAATCTGCAAATGTTCTATGAGGCGCTAAAATAATATGCTAGGACTGTCATTGAGTTAGCTGACGTTGAACTAAAAGGACTGCTGTGCCTAAGTAGCATGCAGCCTCAAAGATAAACTATCATAGCAGGAAACATAATCCCAGTGTAGAAGTTCTCACCTTCTGGTGGCATCTGGCAATCTGGTCATTGCACAATGTGAAACTCTATAAATTCAGGAGTTTTATGTATTTTGTTAAGGTTTAACACTGTAGCATGCATTTGTGTCTCTCTTAAGTAAACTAATAGCCCTCATTAGTGTTGACATTTGTGTCCAAAGAGACAGAATGTAACTAAGTACATTAAATGTAACACACACTTTTGGATCCAGGTGAGGCAATCAATCTTAACTTTTCTTGTGTCAAAGCTGTGACATCAGAGCCCCTCTTGGCATCCAAATACAACAACTGGGCCTCAATGTAGATTATTTAGGAACCACCGAGAGCAGCTGGGGGCAAACCAGTGTCTGCCAGTCTCGCTGCATCCATGGCAACCGAGTAAACACAGCAGCAAGCTGTCAGGTTAAACTTAAGCCTCGGGCTGGGTGATGTTTCAGTGTCACCAGAAAGCTAACCTCCCACATGGTCAATGCCAAAAGTGTTTTTCTCTTTGCTAGGAGCTGTTTGATTCCCCTTTTGACCCTTGTCGTTTTTGTGATTTTAGTGGTGAAACTTTATCAGCAAAGTATGAAACTGCAGGGAGCCACAACAATCAGGTCAGGGAGATAAAGGAAAAATAAAATGTAAATATGGTCATTACAGAATATCCCAGAATCAAATGTACTTATGTTTGCAAACAATCTATCACAAAGTCAAAGTATATAGCACTTATTCAATTAATGTATGATTGTTATAAATAAAAACTCCTTAGTTTGTAAAGTAGGCTGTTTGACCGGTCCAAGTTATTTTGTACAACCTGGCATCCCAAAGGCTATCCTAATAGTGGCTTTAACTGATTTTTGAGGCATTAATAACGTTTTTGAAAAATGTATACTTAATCTATTTGTTAGAAATAAACACTTAATACGATTGCTTGATTAGACAGTGCATTATATGTATTTGTGTCCCTATAGTTGACTATTCCCTGCTGTAACACAAAGAAGAATTGTGATTTGAAATTTCATTCTGTTTTAATTTCACTAACAAAGTGTTTGTGTGGGTCTTTTTTATTGGTCTCAGTAGATTCAGACATCAGCAACATTTTTCAAACATAAATAGACCTTTAAGTGATTCAAATTCAAGGACATAAACATGTTCAGTGGCTCGATTTAGAATTTATTGCAAACATATGAAGGCTTGTCAGTCTACATTACACTCATTCATCATATTCATTACTTTCCAGCTTGTAAGTGCAAGCGCAGCACTCTCTTCTCCTTTCAAGGCATTTCTCCGCTGTCATCCTGACCTCTGTCTTTTCTGGGGCAGTCACAGTTGACATCAGGCATCTCATTGAAATACACGCCCTTTTTCTTTGAACATTCATAAATACACTTATCTCAGACCATCTCACCTTCCTTTAACACTCTTTCTTTTTACAAAATCAAGCTTTGATACACTCGGTTCATAATATGTAACTGCAACGTCAGAAGGTTTTTCTTTTAAGGGACATCTGGAAGAATGATTTTAAACAAATTATATTATCTATGTTACAGTGCAACAATGTTTATTTTTACAATTAACAATTCCATATAGTACTCGTGCTATCACCACCAGTGTTTACAGCCATTCATGGCTGTCAGTGTTGATGACCAAAGAGTGACAATCCAAGTGCATTAAGTACATTATTATTCGCAGACAAAGGTCTTAAAAGGAACTAATAGAATACATGTGGATTTTATGTTCATGACAACATATGATTAACTAGCTTACTGTAACTTATAAATTATAATATAATTGTTTTTATGATAGTCTTCACAGGGTTTAAAAAGGATATGTGCTTTCAATAAATCACCTGAAATAAGAGAAAATGTGTTTTATCTTCCACATTTGGACAGCTTGCTCATCAAACACACACATTTAAAGGAGGTAGTATATCATATCTCTCAATTTAGATTTCTTCATAATTCCACTTTTTTCTTTTACTTGGAAACTTGGCAACATTTCTGGTTGGATTTTTCTTAAAGAAAATTCTGCAAAACAGATTCATAATATCAAATTACATGACTGTTTTATCTGTACTGCTCTCAACTGCCTCAGGCGCACATTCATTTAAAAGTATAATCAAATATACTTTCATTAAGAAGAAAAATGTTTTATGATTTAAATGTACAATTTAAGTTACATTTCACCTCAAAATGCTTTATATGTTTTGACATAAACTTGCTCTAAAAAGCAAACCATGTCCAATCTACTGCACAGTCAACACATCTTTCAAATCACTGCATGAATTTATATAATAAAATCCACTCATAGGGCAATTTATATAAAGTCTGTTGTCACAGACTCATTAAAAACATGTATTTTACAGAATTAAGGTACATAGACTGACCAGCAGCTCCAAATACCTTTAATGTGTGTTTAGATTCGAAACATGCTAAAAAAATTACCAATCTACAAGGGATGCTGGTATAACTGGGTCTAGCAGAATGTCCCACTGCTTATTCAAAAGGAAACAAAAATAGCCCCAGACTCATTTTAAAGAAAGCATGAGTATGTTTGTCATCAGTTGATATGTCATTTAAATGAAAATACACATTTCAACTAGAGGTCAAGGGTATTAAAACAGAGAAACGGACATTGCTGTGTTTAAAGTATAAAGACACACCCAACACATGTAGTCTGTACACTGCCGTCTACAGTGAAGTAACATGACTCCTTGTTGTACGCTCACAGAATACTGAAATGCCATACATAACTTACAGCCATGAACACGGACACATTCAGATGCACACGCACAAACTCCCGTCTCGTTACACAGAAAAGTGTAAAATGAACCAACACCAATAGAGGAAGTTATCCCCTATATGTTTCAGCTGGCTTTAGACCCAACATTACTAAGGAAGTACTGTCCTAAGTAAACTGTTACAGTCTCAGCTCAGCTATATTCGAGCAACACACTTAATGTGTTTTTATAAAAAAATTCTCCAACATATTATTTAAAATATCAACAATCACTTCTTCATACAGCATATAAGTTGTGCAAGTATAAGCAGTATTTCGTGAGTTTTGACACAGAGGTTTCACATACTTCAAGTAGAACAGCAGCCACAGACTTTTATAAAAAAACATGGAAATGTTCAAGTGAATGTGGAAAATTAGTGTTGGAGAGTCGGATATTATACATAGCTACAGTATGTCAGATATTTTTTACCATTTAAGAGGGGCATCATTTAAATATATTATTTTGACTGAACTTTTGGTGATAATTACTTCTTAATCTGCATTTAAAATTCACTGCAGACCAATGGTCCCTTTCCTTAGAAAATGGTGTTCAATATTATAGGTTGTATCTACGTAAGTAAATATCAAATTAAAGCAAGACTATGTAGCCTTTGATAAGTAGCGGCCGCTGTGGCCACAAGAAGCAATGACAGGAACATGGCACATTGATTAAAGATGTCTTCTGTTAATTGTTTTACAGACATCCAACCATTCATCAATCTAACTAACCATTTTCTACTGGTTATCTGTTTTTTTTTTTACACCCTCCAAAGAAAACCCATTTCGGCCGCTTGAATACTCCATATTGCTCTTTCGGTATTGACACACCCTTAATGACCATAGGTAAGATTAGAAACGAAGAGAGGGGTAAAGACTTATAAGGACTTCAAGTCAGAGTAAACAGTCTATCTGTTTCCTGCTGAGATTCATTGCCTCGGATTAAGAGGTGCTAATCCTCCTCCCAGAGGCTTCATACTCGACTGCTAACTATTCCAATGAGAGCTGAATGTTGCAAACTTAAGATGCCATCAGAACCAAGAGTATCACAAACGGGATAGATGGCAAACGCATCCCTGATGGAGGCCGACCCCCATTGGAAACACGTTCTGATAAAGCTGGCAGAACCACCACATCAACAAAAAGCAGAGATCCAATCCTGAGGCCACATCTTGGCCGTGTCTAGAATTCCTCTCAATGAATAAATGCCAACGCCAGTGACCTTCGTTAGCAAAGTATTTCCCCGTTACTTATAACTCTGCCTCTTCGATGGGTGATCTTTTCGGTCAGGTTCAGGAGTTCTGCAAAGTGGTACTTCAACTGTCCAACAATATTGTTAGCCTGGGT